CTGGCCTGGGAGCCGATGTCCCTGGGGCATTACACTGCAAAGGGCTCTCTGCTAACTGCTGGTGTTTCCCTTTCAAACCAAAGAGCAGTTGTGGCCAGAGCCTCTTGGGAGTAAAACATGTTTCTACTCTGTACCTGTGCTGCACTTCCTTTCTGACATTTATTTCAGGCGACTTTCAGGCTTCTTCGCGCTGCCTCCGCTTGGCCTCTCACATCCCTCACACCCAGGAGGGCTGCTGTGCTGGAGCTGATGTTGCATCAGCCCTGTGGCAAGTGCTCGTGCTTGGCTTCCAGACCTGGTTGCCAGACCCCCTGAGGATGCTCTGTAGGGCTGGACAGTGGGTGGTCCCTCCCGAAGGGTGGTTCTCCTAGTAGGCAGCCTGAGCATAGGGTGCTGCTGAGGAGGCAGCAGGGAGGGTTAGGCTGGGCAGAGGTGATGTGGATGTTGTCCAGGACATAAATCCTTCTCTCTAGGGCTGCTGTCTTCCTGAGTCCAGGAAGAAGGTAGTCTGTGACCTGGGCTTTTTTTCTGATCTTCACTTCCCCTTATCCTACCTACAGTCTTTAGCCGTGTCTCAGCCCCATCTGCTCCACATCTATTTTGCTTATACTTTTAAAAGACCTTCTCAGCTCCTTTTCCCTTTGTTCAGTTCTTTAATTATAAACAGTGTTTTGTTTTTCATCCCTTTTTACATTTTGCTTGTGAAGTCTCTTCCTTCATTCCCACCCCCCCCCTCAGCCCCAAATTCCTCTCTAAGGCTGAGGCTGGATCCAGGTGATACCAAACCACTGATGGTGAGGTCATGTGTTTGGGACCTGAATCTTGATGGAATCCAGTGGGTGCCTCTGGTCCTCCTCCACACGAGGTCATCCATCTGGCTGGGCATGGGCAGTGCCTGTGGCCTGGCAGTTTGGCTCAGCCGGATCTTGTCCGTGGTACAGCTGGCTCTGGTGAGCAAGTCTAAGCCAGGACCAGGAGCCAGAACAGAGCTGTAGGAAATGGGCACTGGGGGTGAGAGCAGCCATTTCCCTGGTGGGTCCCTTTGCCAGCTCTTCAAGGCTGGTGATTCAGTCAGTGAAGGACTGTCAGACGTTCCAGGGCAGAAGTCATGGCAGTAGGGTGGGCTTGGACTCCTCAGTTAGTTCCCCTGGGAGTGCCTGTGGAGCATCTGTGTGCATCAAGCAGGTGGCTGAGCTGAGTTCACTGTGGCATGGACACCCCTGGGACCATGGGTATGCCCAGGTGGCCCTGCCAGTGCTCCAGCAAGCAGACACCATCCCTGTGATCTGGATGGGGAGATGTGCACACTCTGGTCTTGGGGCCCACCTGCTGGAGTGGGGGACGAAGGGGAAGGTGTCCTCTGACAGAGTTTTGGGACCATCTCTGGGTGCTCAAGCCAGCCCTTGCAGGGGGGAGAGCAGGGTAGAGAGCACTTTCTACACTTCCCTTGGGTATTTGCCATTAAGTCCAGGCTGCAGCCGAAGCCTGGCTATTAATAACAGGCAAAACCCCTTGTTATTCTTCAGTCTGACTCTCTCTGTTGGGTGGTGAGTTCACCTGCGGGAAGGTTCCTGCACACACAGGTGAGATGCCAAGATGCAATAAGGGCAGGCCAAGGCTTGGGGCTGGCAGCTCCCCCCGGGCCAGGAGAGCTTCTCCCCAGCTGCCAGGCCTCCTCCACTGCCCTGCTGCTTTCTGGACGTGAAGATGCTGCTCTCACAGCATGCCTGGGATGCTCAGTGAGGAGAGCAGGACCACAGGTGGGAGCTGGACCGCGGGCTTGTCTGTGAATGCCTCCGAGCCGTGGATCTGAGGGACGTCATGGCCAGTGAGGTTCTCAGGCTCCTCCTAATCTTCACTCATGACTCCAGCAGAGTTCCTGGGGCTGTGGGAAGTTGCAGCCAAGGTTGATGAGGTTTGTGTGGCTTGCAGTGCCTTTAACACTGCTCTCCATGTGTTTCTAAGATGATACTCCATGTATGTGTGTGTATATATATTGTATTAACACATCCCGCTCTTCTGTGTGAGTGTCAAATGGTTTTGCTTTACTAATAAATTTATAGTTATTTATACCTTCCTGTGGGTGTGTAAGATTTCTGGAGTGGAGGCCATGTGCCAAGTACCACCTCCCCGTCTGTCTTTGTGCTCTCTCTGGCTCTGCTTGATTTTTTTTTTTCTTTTTTTCACGTTTTCTCTCTTTTCCCTGAACTTTTTTGAGGGAGAAGTGACGGTTCATCTTCCTGGTAACCAAAAGTCAAGATGCAGGATATGGGTAGGCTCCCAGGCAAGCAGAGTGTGCAGTTGCCCCTTGATAGAGGTGGAGTGCTCCCTCCCCAGGGTAAAACTCCTCCCTGGGAGCCTTTGGACAGAAGCAGGAGTCTCGGTCTGCCAGAGAGGAGCAACTGTTCAAGAGGCAGAAGCTGATGCCTGTTGTGCTCTGAGCACCCCAGCCCCACACACAACTGTTTGAGCTTTCCCAGAGGTTTGTTTTGCACCCCCAATCCTGTGATAGCAAGAGAAGAATCTGCTACTTGCAGACAACATAACTTGCTCCATCCCGCACCCAGGCCAGGTGAGATGTATGAGATGTGTCTCTGAGTCACTGAAAAAATGCTTCTATGCAACAGTTTCCTTGACTGTGAATCAAAGCTGCAGAAGTGCTGGGGCCAGGCAGGATGGGTACTTGTTGCCCACCAGGCTGGAGACACCCATGGAGCCAGGGAAGGAGGAATTTGGTCAAGGGGCTCCAGCACTGCTCCAGGCAGCTCTACCCAAAGACAGGAGCTGGGGCTGGATGTCAAGCAGAGAAGCCTTGCTGGTTCCTGCCTTCCAGGGTGTGGCTGAGATTAGGGGCAGTGGGAAAGGCTGGCAGTTGAGCAGGACTGGAGGTAAACGGATCAAGCAGCAATTGGCAGGCTCAGCAAGGGGAGGCTTAGCTCAACTCAGCACAGATTTGCTGCCTCCTGCCTTGGATCCTCTGGGGCTGGGGCAGAGCTGTGGGTGGAGCACCCTCAGCACATCACCCTCATCACACCACCTTGTGTCACCCCGCGGGGTTTCAGCAGCTCCACTGCTGCTCTTCTGCACGTTCCTGCACCCCCCTGCGCCTGGGCGAGACGACTCCCTGCCCTGCAGCGCTGCCGGTGAGTGCCTGGGATAGCTTTGGTGGCTCCAGGGATTTTGAGGATGCTCAAACCTTCTTCGTTTGGGGGTTTTCTTTGCATTATCTTGCACCAAAACCAGGCTGGCTGCTGGGAGCCGGGGCGCTCGGGACAGCTGGGTGCCTGTAATCCCATTTGCAGGCAGCGCAGGGCTAATCCCCGCAGAGCCCTGAGCGGATTGAGGCGGGTTTGGGGGGGTCAGTGGCGAGCTGAGGTGGCCAAGGGAGCCCACGCATCCCGGGGTGGCTTCCCAGGGAGGTGGTGGCGAGTCTGCGGGGGTAAGTGGCAGCGATGGAGGTGAGGGATGTGGCTGGGGCTTTTGCAGGACCACCTCTGCACATCACAGGGGGGGTTGGTGCTCCGAGACAGAGCTGGAGGATGAGCTGTGTCGGGGGAGCGAGCAGGTCCGTGGGGAGTGATGTTGCAAAGGCAGTGGAGCTGGGTAATATGGAGGGTTTGATGGGCTGCTGGAGGGGCGGGAAAGGCCACGGTGGTCCCCGCTCCAAATGAGAACAGTGGGTCTGCACCCCACTTGCTTTTGGAGATAAGACAGGCCCTTAGCTCGCTGGAACAAGCCCCATGGAGCTGCCACAACAGGTGGTGGCACTGGTAAGTACCTGCAGCGCAGGGGGATGCATGAAACTGCCAGCTCTTCCGTGCCATTGCGGGCAAATCCTGGCTACTTATTCCTATTTCTTCCAGCAGCTAGTTTTTTGGGCCCCCACAGATGTTTCTGCCCCTTTCTTGTTCAGATGTGTCAGAGGAATGGCCTCTGCCCTCCACTTTCCTTCCCAGACCAAGGACAGGCTTATGCTCTAGGCTTTTACAGCTTCACAAGCTTACCTCGAGGGAGGAGGGGATCCTGACTGTCAGGGGGGCTCGCTGAAGCCCTGGGGGGCTTTCTCTGGATTGTTTGGGCTCAGTGCTGTGCACTGACCCTGTGCTTCCTTGGGACCTGTGCCAAAGCATGGGTGGAAATGCCTCTGCTGTGTGGGGCTGCCGGGTTTTCCTTCCTGCTCCTGGGGCATTCGCGTCTCCTTAATCCTTTATAACCAGTGGCTGGTAAAAGGCAATTTAATTGGTTTCTGGTTGTCTGGTTTTACAGCCACACTATCTAGTTTTGGGGATGTGGGGTTGTCTGGGAGAGCTGACCCTGTCTATGGTGTGCTGGGGGCTGGAGGTGCTGCTTCAGCTGCATCCAAACCCGGCTTCTTGACTTCCCAAGGTGTGGGCGAGCAAAGGGCTGAGGACACACATCACCCTTCCTGAGAACCTTGGCCTGTTTAGATTTAAGGAGCCAGGGTTTGGACAGCCCCCTACGAGCCATGTTGAGGGAACTGAAGGTGTCCTGTACACCTAAAGGCTGCATTAATGCAAAGAGCCCAGCGCTGAGCCGCTTCCAGCCTGTACCTGCTGCGTGTGGGGCTGGGGTCATGTGTGTACCTGGGATTGAAAGTCCCATGCTGTGTCCCAGCTGGGCTGGAAGGAGCTCAGGGATCTGCTTTCTTTTGCCCTTTGCAGGCATCATCTGCGAGCAGCAGCATAGGGACTGCCCGAGGTGCTCCCGGGCCCCTCATTGGGCAGTGTGGGGTGTCCTTGAAGGGGCATTTTGGGCAGAGCACGGCTCTTTGGAAGGGCAGCAGCAGAAGACACTCCCAGGTTGAGCAGTGCCACGTTTCCCAAGCAGAACACCGAAACGGAAGGACACCAAGGACCTCTTTGGGCTGCTCTGGAGACAGCGTGAGCAGCTGGTGTACCCGGTATTCCCTGGGGGGCTGCACCCCTGCTGCTGGCCTCTTGTAGGCTGGAGACCCCTCCTCACTGCCCGCAGGCAGCGGGATGATGGGCTGGATCAACCGGGTGGTTCCCCAGCCCCCTGTGCCCCCGGTGACGGAGGAGAGCCCGCGGGCCCCAGCGCAGGAGCCGGAGCCAGTTAAGGTGAGCAGGGAGCCAATTTGGGGGGGAATGGGGATGCTGTGACCTATATGGAGAAATGCCTGTGCCTCTGCATCCATCCCCAGCTCTTTGGCACCCAGGGATGCTCTGCAGCATCCCCAAGAGGGATGGGGGCCGGGACACTTCCTGCACTGAGGTGCTGGGAAGCAGCAGGAAGGATGGGGAGTCCCTGGGGTTTGCAGCCACCTTTGAGCAGGGACAGTGTCCTCTGTGCCTCACCCTCTGACTCTCTGACACCTTCTGCCTTTTACCCTGAAGGCACCAGCAGGAAAAGCCAGTGGCCCCACGGATGTTGCTGGCCAGGCACGCACTGAGGGTAAGCCCCACACTGGCTCAGGCCACAGGTCATGCTCCTTTACCAACTGGTCCCCCTCCTGCTGGGGGCTGCCAGAGTGGTGACAGGAGCTTGCCTTTGTTTTTTTTCCCTGCTGCCATTGAAGAACTAGTAAAGAAAGTAGAATTTGTGATCCCTGAGGACACAGGTTCTATGTTTGAGAGGTATGGCTCTTCCACCCTCCAGTGTGCAACATGGTTTGCTTGGGATTTTGCTTTCTGTTGGGGGCTGGATGCCTGGGATGGCGTTCCCAGCCTGACTCGCTCCCTTCTCTGGCAGCATGGGGAGCAGTGTGCGCTTCTGGCTCTCCTATGGGATAAGGAGGGTGATTCCTCAGCCAGTTCCACCCCCAGGGACACTGCAGGTGCTCGGGAAGAGCTTTGAGACAAGCATTGATGTTCCTGATGAGGTAGGAGACAGATCTTAGCACCAGTCTGGTGTATTTGGGCTTCCACATCTTTTTTTCCTTGCTATCACTCTCCCAGTGCTAACTGGGAGCACTAAATGTGCCCTGCATTGTTTTCTGCCTTCATCTGTCCCTGGGGAAAGGGCAGAGTTCCCTCTCCACCCTATAGGATGAGCCCCACCTTGGCTGTCAGGTGGGTGACAGTCTGTTTGGCTTTTCAGACAGAGGTCCAGGTCCTTCCGGAGGAGGACGACGGTCTCGGTAAGGAGAGCTGGGAGCTTGTAGTTTGCAACACCCCAGGGGCCTCTCTGGGACTCCCACACCCCACCTCCCTGACTGGTGATGCTGGCACCATTGTCCCCTTGAGCTGGCTGATGGGGGGACCTGAAGGTCCCAGCAGTGAGGTCCCCCATGCCCACGGCAACACTCTCCTTGCAGACATAATCCCCTTCGATCCAGAGGAGGACGGCTTCGAGGATGACTTGGATGCCCCCAGAGAGGAATGGTGGGTCCCCAGCGAGGCTGGCAGGGGGCTGGGGGAGGACAGGAGGGCACGGGATGAGCTCCCTGAGCACGGCACTCTCCCCACAGGGTAGGAAAGCGGGTGCTCAGCTGGCTGTCACAGGGCTTTGAGAGGATTGTGCCGCAGCCGGAGGGGATGAAAAAGCTGGAGGTGAGCACTACCCAGCTCGGGGAGACTGGGGGGCCACCGGGCAGAGGTTGACAGCAGGGTGGGCTCCTTGCCTTCATCCTCCTGCACACCCCAGCTGGGACCTCGGGGAGGAAAACCCCAAAGGAATTCAGTAGAGCAAAAGAGAGACCTTGGGGTGCTGTCCCGTTGTTCCCAACCTGGCTGCATGCAGGGGGGACCTTCCAGTTGGGACCCGCTGGTGGCAACAACACTGGGTTTAATGGTTGTTGTCAGGGAAATGGGGCAAAACTGCAGCAGAGGATGTGTGGGGTTGAGAGTGTGGGTCTCCTTGGGGGGGGCACAGGCCCACACGGGGTGGTGTGAGGCTGCAGGCAGTGCTGTGCCACATCCATCCGTCCCTCTGTCTATCTGCAGACAGAGCAGAAGGATCAGAAGTGTGAAGCCACAGTGGAAGGTGAGCGATCCAATCCCCCTTCCCTGGGTGGCCCTTTCAGAGGAGACACTGTGCCTCTGAGAGCCCAGCTGCGGGTGCCCTTCATCTCCATGCCCAGGATTCCCACTCTGCTGAGAGGGGTGGGCACACGGGTCCTGGCATCACAGCACCGCCCCTACATCACTTCTGTCCCCAAACTGCCCATGTCCTCAACCCAGGCTGGGCCCCCAGGGGAGAGGCTGCCAGGGAGGTACCCCAGGCCTGTCCCTCTGTGGGAGGTGACCCTCCCTTGCTTGCTCTGCTTCCCAACAATTTATGACTGCTGCATTGCCTCATCCCCTTTCTTCTTCCGAATAAACCTGAGCAGGCACAAAAAGGACTGAAACGACGGCAAAGCCAAAACCCCGCCTTTCAGCTGCCATGAGCACCTCAGTGGCAGAGACACCAGCAGCTGCCACGGAGCAGCCAGAGCCAGTGACCACCCTCACCACTCAGTCCGTGGCTCTGGATGGCCTCAGGTAACCACAGGGCAATTTCTGCCTGGGTCTGGTGGCCAGAAGGTTGGCTGATGTGGGAGCAAAGGTTCTGGCTGCCAGTTCTAACACTGGTTTCTTGTCACCAGGATGTTCATCTGGTTTGTCCAGAAGCTGGAGACGGTGCTGCCACAGCCAGTGACCAGGGGGAAGCAGGACACACAGGTATGCTGTCTGCTGGATAGGCAAAGAGCACAGAAACACCATGTCCCTGGTGGGGAGGGTGTCCCTTGCAATGCAGAAGCTACTAGATCAGTGCTGGGGCCTGGTGTGGTTTGGGCTGTCACCCAGCTCCTTCAAGAAAACAAATGCCCATGACCTGCTTAGCTGATGAAAACCAGGATTTGGCTTCTAAGCAGCACGAGAGCCTGCAGCATGTTTTCTTTATCATTTCCTTGCCTTTCTGTGCAGCACTGGGTGGTGTCCAGGCACTTCACCCAAGTGCAGTCTCAGTTCTAAGGATAAACAGCAGCAGCAGGTTTACATGCTCTCCTTTCCTGCTCTTGCCCCCAGGCGAGCTCACCGATGTGCTCTGCCCCATATTATCCTGTGTGTCCACAGCCAAGCCATCCAACTTGACATGAGAAATCACGTGGGGTATTTAGGGAAATAGGGCCACTTTTACTGCAAACGGGTATTTAGGCTAGAAATTACTGAAAATGGACAATGAGTCATGTTTCCCTTTTCCTCCTGGCAGGGAGTGGCCTCAGCAACCTTGAGTCCCGTGGAACAAAGTAAGTGGTGGCTCCATCTCACTGTGAGTTTGATTGTTGAGCTTATCAGCAAGGTTATTAGGAAGAGGTGTCACTATCATCTTTTATCCCCTGATCTGCCCTGGGTGCCAGCTTGGGAGCCCTTGGAATCCCCTGGGAAAGCCATGGGAGGCTGTTGATACTTGAGAAATGGGAGTGGCTGTGGAGCTGTGGCAGGGATTTGGTAAAGCTCGGGGTTTATGGGAATCTCTAAGTGCAGCATCCCACCATCCTCAGGTCCCAGGTTTTGAAGTTAGTGCTGATCTCAAGATCTGTCCTCGAGCTGTGCTGGAGGATGTTTGCTGAGCTGGTGGGATTTGATCAAAGGGAATTCAAACCTGCTGCCTTCTTTCCCCCCTCTGGCACCCTCGCTGCTAAAGCTGGAATGTGTTTGCCAAGCCTGGTGGGAGTTGTCTAAGAAGGTACCTCAGGAAAACAAAATCCTGGGATTAGGTGTGTTAGATATGAGTCTGCATGGTTGTGGGAAAACTTGTGGGGTTCACACTGCTTCTTGCCTGCCTGTGGAGGGGATCAAGCACCGGCTCTGCAGGCAGTCGGGCTTGGCTTCCCCCACCAGCCACACTGGGGGATACTGGACAAAATGGCAGAGCCACTCTGGATGCCTCTCTGGATGGACTGGGCAGGGTTGCACAGCCCCATGCAAGTGCTGTCCCTGGCAAGGAGTGACTGGTTGGGCTGGGGGAGCTGCTGATGGGAGCAGGGACCTGCTGAGGCTGCACATCCCCCAGGAACATCCCCCAGGAACATCCCCCAGGAACACGCCAGGAGGTCGCTCCTGCTGAGCCACCAACAGCTTGGCAGAACCTCAGAGAGTGAAATCCTGGGAAGGGGCATTTCTCCTGTGCTCATACAAACTGGATACCTGTGCATTGCCATGGAGCTCTGAAAGAGGCAAAGCCAGGGATGTGCTGGGCAGGCACAGCCTTGGTGCACAGCCGGCTTTGGTGCCTTGAGGCATCTCCAGGTCACTTAACTGGGTTGAGCAAGAGATCTGCCCTGGCCCCAGACTGCCAGCACGCTCATTAATGTTTTCCTTCTCCTTTTGTTTCAGGGGGCAAAGGGGCTTAGCGCCTCTGAAACAAACGGAAAACGAAGACCATGGCAAACCAGCCCTTCCCACACCCAAATGAGACCAACCTGAGGAGAAAGCGCAGCTGGGGAGGAAAAGCAATGGGGAATTTGCAAAATAGTCTCTAGCTCCTTCCCAGTTGGGGCAGTGGGGACCCAAGCCTGGCACAGAGATGCCAGCTGCATGTCCCCAGTCCCAGGGCTGTCCCACTTGGCTCCCTCTTTTCTCTGGGAATTGGAGCTATTAGTTTTGCAGGACAATGTCTATGAGATGGGAGCTACAATTTATAGGATGGTAGAAAAGCATCACTCAGGACACCTCGGTGGCAGAAAGCCTCTTGCTGCAGTCTCCCAGCACTCCTGGCTCTCTCAATGCTCCCCTAAAATCTGAATATTCAGTCTGAGACCTCCAGCTGAAACCCACAGGTTTCTTTGAGTCAGCTTCTGCCTCTGAGGTGTAATGTTATAAAGCTCTTGAAGCTCTTGTCAGCTCCTTATTGCTTTTCTTCCACTAACTGAGTGTTTTCTCCCAGCAAGTGGAAAGGGTTCTGGTTTGCAGCAGCAAATCAGATGGGTGAGGTTAATCTTTAGGTGAATAGGTAGGACTTAATGGTTAAAAACCTTTGCCCAGACTCTCCTTCTCCTTACCCCCAACAACAGCTGCTCCCTCCTGAAGCTCACAGCTCCTTGGATGCAGCATTAACCACAGTGGCAGGAGTGTCTTGGCAGGGAAGGGATCCCAGGAGCTGTCTCCAGCCTGGAGGAGTGCAGGCAGGCACAGCCAGTGCAGGCACACTGGACTTGATGGGTTGAGAACCCCTACCCCCCCAGTGTTGGGTACAGACCTTGGAATCTCAGACTAGGGACCTTTGTGAGGGACCTTTGAATATGATCTGGTCCAACTCCCCTGACTCCCCAACACCTTCCACTGACTTTGGTAAAAAGTCTTTCTCCATCTCTTGTATAAGCCCCCTGATGTATTGACAGGCTGGGCTAAGATCTCCCACCATCTCACTGCAAGTCTTTAGGCCCATCTAGGCAACCAATAATGATGAGTCGTGAGCCAAGAGACCACCCTGAGATCCATCCCCTGCTTGTACCAGGCCACAATTTTAGTATTTGCCCCATTTTCATATAATGTATACAAAAACCATGGTGTGCTTTAAAAGCCACCTCCCTGCTTGCTGTCCCCTGTTTTAATTAACAGAGATCTAGAGGGAATATCATGGACACCTTGAGGTGGGTGAATACAGCACTGGTACAAGCGTGCCTGGGTTTCCTGCCTTTCTGTAGTTGAATTTGCATGTTTCCCTTCAGCTTCACTGTGGACATGTAAGTTTTGTTGTCAGGCAGACATCAAAATAAACTGATTTTACAGTAAGTGGATGTGCTTCCTCCTCCCGTTTCTCTGGTGTGTGCCTGACGTGGTAGGATGGGTACCCCTGGGACACAGAGAGGGCTCAACATGGGTCAGACCTGCACTCCTCACCCTGCAGCTGCTGCACAGCTCCCCAGAAACCTGCCATAGATTTGGGCTGGCATCACCCCACTAACCCACCATGGGTTTTTCCCCACTGATGCTGGGCAGTGGCAGTGTGCATGGGATGCTCCCTACACCGTGGCCAGGGGAGTGTTTGGAGCAGGCATGGTGTGGTGCTTGGGTGTTGCAATGTGGGCTCTGGGTTGGGTTTTGCTCTGCAGATCCAGGGCCCTTGGGCTGTGCCAGGGCAGCACTTTGCTGGGAGTTCACAAAGGGAGAGGCTTTGGGCTCTTCCCTTGGCTGCTCCTGACTGCAAGGAGAGACAAAATGTGGCCTGGAAACGGGCCAGATCACTGCTGGTGGAGGTGGCTACACATGCAGGGAAGCCAGCAGTCATCTGTGTGCAGAGGGTTATAGCTTACATAGAATCACAGAATGGTTGGGGTTGGAAGGGACCTTAAATTCATCCAGTGTTAACCCCCCTGCTGCAGGCAGGGTCACTTTGCACGAGGTTGCTCAAGGGCTTCACAGGGCTTTGGCTGTGCTTGGCACAAAATGATGAATTTTCTTTTTCCTTCTGGCAAAGGGCCCAAGGCATCTGCCCAGCACAGCTTGGGGTCACCAGGGCTGCCCAAATCTGTGCAGGCTGAGAGCTGCTTCAGCACTGCAGCATCAAGCAGATGAAACACAGGATCTGTCCTGGCCCTACATCTGACCCCTTGAGAACATACTCTCACACTCTCACTTCATCATCTCCCTTTCCCCATTCCAATTTCAGTTCATATCCCCCCTGGGGAACCCGAGGAGACCCACCTCATCCTGGAAGAGATCACTGATGACCAGGTTAATGAAGACACATGTGAGATGATGGCCTGGAGTCACAAGGCTGAGCCAGAGGCAGATGCTCGTTCCCTTCCCCCCATACAGGAGGAACCTCAGGAAGAAGAAGAAAACAGGTAGGAGAAGGAAGATGCTGTTGATGGGCAGGTTCATGTTCTCCAGTCACCAGTGTGGTGGCCATGGGAGGGGACAAGTATGTCCCCAGGCATCCCTCCTTGCCAGCACTGGTGGTGGAGCTGGCAACTGAGGTGCCTGTTTTGGAAGAGGGGGGCATCCACCAGAAGAACCCAAAAGGTGTTTCAGCAAATGTCCTTTCTTCTGGTGTTGAGGTTTGGGTTGGGGCAGGTGGTGGCAGAGCCATCAGTGCAATGCTCACAGTGCCCTGCAAAGGACAGCTGAGGGAGGCTCTGCTTAGGCTCCTGTAAGATTTTGGCCCTAAAAGCAAGAGGGCTTGGACCTTGTTCCCAGCAGTTGCACATTCAGCTGTAATGACATTCAGAAATAGGAGTTGTCTCTGTAGAATTCACTCTACTCCTCCCAAAAGAAACGCCTGCTGAGGTTCTCCCAAGGGCTGGGCAGTGTGTTCAGAGCCAGAAGCAGGCTGTGTTGCAGCAGGGGGATGAGAGGTGCCCATGCACACTCGCAAAGGGTTTCTGAGACCCCCAAAATGCTCCCTGAGCCCAGCATGGGCTAACACAGTGGCCCCCACCTCCCAACACTGGCAATGCTGAACTGCACTAAGCACAAGCAGTGCCCTGAGCCACACTGGCTCAGCAGAGGTCTCTCCTGCTCAAGCAGAAAACACTGGGCATGCTATAAAAATATTTTTCAGATTTTTTTGCCCCTTACTACAGAAGCTGTGAGAAGCTGTGGGCAGCAAGCTCAGCCTGTCCTGGGGCTGGATTTCATTAACAGGAGGTTTTGGTCAAAATCAGCAACCAGTGACCCCTAAGCACATCCTCTTCCCATGCAGCAAGGGGAATCTGAAGGCTCAAGGACTCTGGTTTTGGGTTCCCAAACTCTTTCCCACTCTCCTTCCCACCTGCTTGGAGCTGTAGACACTAATGGGATGTGAAACAGTGTATGCCCAGTATGTCCCAGCATATCCAACCCCTCTGGGAGGTTGGCTGGGGGATGGAGGGAGAGCATCTCTGGCCAAAGGGGTTGGGGAGACTGGCAGGGCTCCTCATGTGAGGTTCAGACATACTTTGTGGATTTTACTTAATGAGTTTCTCCTTCCCAGACTGTGGTTGAGCTCCCTAAGCACTACCAAGGAGGAAAAGGAGGAGGAAAAGAAGGAGGAGGAAGAGAAGGAAAAATGGGAGGAGGAAGAGAAGGAGCAGGAGGAAGAGAAGAAAAAATGGGAGGAGGAAGAGAAAGAGCAGGAGAAAGAGAAGAAGGAAGAGGAGAAAGAGGAGGAGGAAGAGAATAAGAAGGCAGAGGAGAAGAAGGTGGAGGAAGAGAAGAAGGTGGAGGAAGAGAAGGAGGAGGAAGAGAAGAAGGTGGAGGAAGAGAAGAAGGAGGAGGAAGAGAAGAAGGTGGAGGAAGAGAAGGAGGAGGAGGAAGAGAAGAAGAAAGAGGAGGAGGAAGAGAAGGAGCAGGAGGAAGGGAAGAAGGAGGAGGAGGAAGAGAAGGAGCAGGAGGAAGGGAAGAAGGAGGAGGAGGAAGAGAAGAGGGAGGAGGAGAAGAAGGAGGAGGAAGAGAAGAAGGTGGTGGAGGAGGAGGAGGAGAAGAAGGTGGAGGAGGAAAAGAAGCAGGAGAAGAAGGAGGAGGAAGAGAAGAAGGTGGAGGAAGAGAAGGAGGAGGAAGAGAAGAAGGAGGAAAAGAAGCAGGAGGAGGAAGAGAAGAAGAAGGAGGTAGAGAAGAAGAAGGAGGAAAAGAAGAAGGAGGAGAAGAAGAAGAAGGAGAAGAAGAAGGAGAAGAAGAGAAAGAAAGAGGGGGAGAACAGGAAAGAGGAGAAGAGGAAAGAGGAAAAGAGGAAAGAGGAGGGGGAGGAGAGTGCAGAGTGAGTGTCTCCCGTTGCCTTAATGGCTTTGTTGGAAAGGAGCGTGAACGCAGCTGTTGATTCAACTGCGTTCACGAGCCAGAGAGGCTGAAACACCCATGGACGAGCGAGCTCCTCCTGGCAGAGCGGAGCTCCCAGCCTGGCTGGCAGCTGTGCTGCGCTGCGCTGGGGAGGGATGCGTGCGGGAGGGATGGGTGAGAAGGGAGCGATGCTTTTGCAAACGGGCTCATCCCAGGGCTCGCTGCTGACGCGGCACCTGGCGACAGGCGAGAGTCTCCTGGTGACACGGGTTCCATCTCCACCGAGGCCGCCCGTGGCAACCGCGGCCCCCGGGCATCCCCCCGCGGGTCCGGCGGCTCCATCGGGAGGCGGGAGCGCCCAGCTCCGGGAGAGGGTCCATGCTATTTAAACCCGCATCCATCAATTCAGGGCAGTCGGAATTGTTATGGGTGCCACAGAGCTGAATGTAAAGAGAGGATTATGTGTTCTGCCTGGAAATACTGCTTAATGCAAGTAGGTACAATTTTACATTTTTTTCCTATTGTAGAAAATACACGAGTTCTTGTCAGGCAGGTAGTGACTTTGGTCTAGGTGGTGTTGAGAGACATCTTTCTGCTTAGTTAGGTAGTTTGCTTGGATTTCACATGAGATAAACATTTAGGGGTTTATTAGCTGGTGCTACAATATTATTCTCTGTTAATTCCTCTAAAGTAGCCAGATTTTCAGGAAGAAGCTGAAAACGCACGATTATTCACTATCAAACCCATATGTTTGTATTTCATCAAAATCTGTTCCTGGAGCTTCACTATAGAAACTTGAGCTTCAGTTGTGGGGTGAATGAGACGATGCTTCATATTTCAATGTGTTTGTTTATTGGGAAACAAGAGGGAAACCAACAGGTTTTCTAAATAAGGATGGAAGGACTTACAATTGTGTTTAAAGGGAGCATAATTAAAATAAAAAAGGGGGGGAATTATTAAAAATGTTTTTAAAAATACCTTGGAAAACAACAGGTTTTGAAGACATGGAGGAAAAAGAGAAAGAGCAACCACTGCTTGTGACATACCTCTTCTGACTTTGCACCTACCAAGGATACAGAAAGATGGTTTCTCGATTTCCATGCATTTAGCTGTCTTAAAATTTTTCTCATTGTCACCTATCCCTGCTTTGCATTCCTTTCCAGGAAAGAGCAAATCAGGAGATAAGTGCACAGAGCCACATGTGAAAGTGCTTATTTTCAGTTATAGGCTATATTAAAGCAATAAATTCGATCTTGTGAGCCCCTTTGTCAGAATGGTGGAGCTGAGGTCTGCACTTGCTGCTGAAAGAAAATGAGAATTATGTGTCCTGGTAGTGCCTTGCACAGGCAAACGTGGGATTTGGATGGTGCTTTTGGGAAAGCCCTGCCTGGAAATTAGGCTCTGGGCTTTTTATTTGGCAAATTTTAATTATATGAGAAATGATTATGCACAGGAGGAGAAACATGCTGCTTGCATCTTTCTGCCTCTGCAATTTTAGCCTGTGCACGTGCAATGCCCTGCTTTGTCTATGCACCTCTCACCTGGTCTCCTACACAGTATTTTTTCTCTCCCTCCCAGGTCCCTGCTCTCTTCTCTCCCAACTACCAATGGTGTGGATGAATCCTACATTGCTGAGGAGGCCCTCAAGTTTGAGCAGCAGGCAGTAGTTGAGATAAGTAACCTCGAAGGTGCCCTTGTACAGGTATGGCATCGCTCCCTGCCTGGGCTCAGGTCTGCAATGAGCTCTTGCTGCCCAGTGAGTACCAGGGGCACAGAGCTTGTCCAGGGGGATGCAGTGCCCTGGGAGGAGCAGGAACTGGGCTGGGCACTGGACATGTTTCCCACCAAGATGTCCCCATCCCTGAAGCTGAGCCAGCAGCATTAGCTGTGGGTGGAGGGAGGGCTGTTTCACCCTACAAAGTTGGTGCTGAACAAGGAGCTGAGAGTCTGGCAAATAGGGGCGATATGGGGAATCCAGTCAGGCTGCAAAATCTGCTCTTTTACTGACAGAGGAGGGCTTTTTCTCCTTAAAATGGCTTTTTTCATTTTAAAGGTGGAAGAGAAGACAGCTGAAGCTGCTGAAACCAATGCTGAAGGTATAACATGTAGCAGTATAACACCAAATGGGGACGAATCAAAGCAGGCGATGTGGTGCCTGATGGGAGGAGAATCCAGCTTCTCCTTCCCTGCTGTTGGGGAGCAGGCAGCTGAGTTCTCTGCAGCATGGGCCTGCATGGGCAGCTGGGGCTTTTCACTGGGGTAAAGCATCCCATGGGCACAGCATCCCGAGGGTGCAGCATGGTGGCAACATTGGCATGGGCTGGAGCCAGCTCTGAATGGCTGGTGCTTGTGCAGTGCTGAGTCCTGCTGATTAAGCAATCCCTGACGTGAAATTAGGGTTTCTCCTTCAGCTGGAGAAAGTACAGGGATAAAAAGGATTTTCTCTACCACTTTGATTTGGGGAATAACAGGTGGCATAAAGCACATTTTAATGTAGCCTTTTAGGAAGCAATGGGTTGGCAATGAAAATTAGATGGTGAACTCCCATCACAGCCTGAGCGAGCAAAGGCAGGTCCTGGCATAACTGCACTGATGTCAGGGAGTTGCACAGGGAAGGGCTTGCCTTGAGTCTTGGTGCAGGCTGATGCAGACCATGCAGGGCACCCCCATTTTGCAGCAATGCTAGAAAATGCTGGTTCATCAGGAACTACAGTGATAGAACAAGGAGTAATGGGTAAAAATTGAAGGAGGGGAAATTTAGGTTAGATAAAAGGAAGAAATTCTTTATTGTGAGGGTGATGAGATACCAGAACAGGGAGGTTGTGGA